AAGCATGTGCAGATGGGTTTAATTCTTTCCATTCTCCCCCTGTTCAATATGGATTTGGGGTATGTAGTCCTTGTGAGGCAACACTGGCCACTCTATGATTTATGATAGTACCAACCATAAGGAACATAAGGTGTTGTTCCTCATGTAAAATTTATTCTGGTAAGTCTTGCCTCCTCCAGTTTAGTTTGCATTATTTTTTGTTGTTGAGAAACTTACAAAGTGTTGAACTGGGTATAAAAATCATGATACACAAATGAAGGTACTATAAGATGTATCAATAACATGGAGATAACTGAATAACACAACAGGCAAAACTTACCACACAAGAGCCTGTGCATAAACTGGAGAATGGCACTTGGAGGAAGATGAACAACAGAGGAACAGAAAACTGTCCAATAACAAAAGCAATACAAGACAAATGTTTCAGGTGTAGCCCTCAAACCTGCCTATAAGATTTCCTCCAAATGCCAGCAACAAAAAGAAACAAGAGAGACCACAACATGCCATGGATGACAAGAAGAGACAAAAAAAGGTATGGTCAGACTCATCCAAAGAAAAATAAGCAAGACAGATGAGTTGACAAACCTAACCAGTTAAAGTGAAAAGAGACATGACCTGAGAGAAGGAAATCTGCCACAATAAAAATAGGCAACAACAGTTTCCGTGAAAATTGGCAATCTGAGTAAAACAGTAATGGATTGATTGCCTATACAGGACAAAAGAGATGATTGGAATCAAAATGGTTGTAAAATGATTAGGTAAGATTGGAGAAGATATACAATCACCCTTCCAAGCAGCCCAAATCTATGGAAGAAAGGAATGGACTGAAAACAACATCCACTGGTCCCTATAAAAAGAGTACAGGATGCACCCAAGGCATAAATGTTTAAATAAGAAGAAGAGACATGGAAAAGATAATACATCTTGAGAAACAAATTATATAAGGAACAGGAGGCATGTATCAATGGGAGAAAATAGCCTGAAGAACCTCACAAAGGTCCAATTTGGGAGAAGGACTGGGTGAGAGAGGGGCAAAAGGAAGGGATTATTGCCTGGCAAGAGGTGGATGGAAGGTTGTGGAAAACACCCCCAGGTAATCTGCATTGGATGAAACACAGACTCTAGATGAAAAGCCAGGTAAAGAGAGAGAAGTATGATGTGGAAGAGTAGGACAACCTAACTGGAGAGAGTGGTGGAAGACAGCCCATGAATGTTGATAGAGGACAGAGTAAAAGACTGACAAGAGTAAGAGAGAAAATCCCATAAGTTACACAAGGGACCAGACAAATCCCATGCATGAAGATGAAGGCACAACACTCTATCATGAAAAATGGACAACCAAGGTGAACTGATAAGACTTCCAAAATGAGAATTCCAAAATGGGAGTGAATCTAAAAGAAGACCAAAGAATTTAAGGACCATTCATTTGGATGGGCTCTGGTAAGGCAGAGAAGAAATTCTTCACCAGATACACAACCCAGGGACATGACATGTTGTAAGGTGAATGCAATGATTGTAGGCCCAAGAAAAGTGAGTGCCTCCCTGGTAGTTGATTGAAGTAACAACCACAGAATTGTCCAAGTGGATCATCACAAACTGACTGGACAATCCTGACAAAAGGGAAGGGCAAACCTGATAAGCTGCAGTCATCTCCAAAAAGTTGATGTGCAGAAAATACTCCTATGGAGAAAGTGGTGGTGTTAAGAACTGCTCCCAAACAAGAAAGAAGCACCATGATAGAGGGATGTAGAGAAGAAGGATGATACCCAAGGGCAGGTAAAAGAATTCTGGACATGTCCCCCCAGAACTCACTGAAGGGTCGCACCTGTGCACAAATAAGAGGAATCAGGGCTCCTAGAAAAACAAAAGTCCCAATTTGAAGAAAGAAGTCACTATTATACCAAAATCTCCAAACCAAGAAAAGGCAAGGGAGAAGGATGAGCTTTCCTCTCACAGGAATACAGAAAAAAACACCAAATAGACAAAAAACTGAGTGGAAGTCAAAATGGACTTGGAAAGTTAGACCAGCCAGCACATGCAAGAAGCTTCATGAAGAAGGGTGGAGGAAGTAATTGCCAATTCCTGTTTTGACAGGGCCAGGAGAAGCCAGATAACTATATAATATCAAAAATGAGGGCCCAGTACTGAGCAAAAGAACAAACATTTCAGCTGAAAACATAAAGAGCTGTAGTGAGGCTAAAGCAAAGAGCATGAAACTGAAAAGCATGACCACTGAGGACAAACCAGAGGAAAATGGAAATGAGAAGGAAGGCAATTGAAACATCTACCATGGTTAAGTCTAGGAGAGAGGGCCCATCAAAGACTGAGAAAGTCATCTATCTGGAATCGAGGAACAATGAGAAAGGAATTCAGTGACAACCAAGTTGACGATAGAGCACAAAGTCTACAGCTTCATGGGGATTACAAAAAGATGGGAATGAAAACCATTAGAGGGGTGGGAGACAGGTTCTATAGCTCCTGTCACCAACAAAGTGAATACCACATCTTTAAGATGAAGTTACAAAGGATTTGTGAGAAGAGGATAGGAAAGATGACAATGAGAAAGAATAATGATGGCTGGAGATGGCCTGAATGGGTAATGAAGAAAAACTTTAATATAAGTTTAACATAACAGCAAATATACAACATTTTGACAAGGTTTTGATGATGACAAAACCTTATCAAAACGTTGTACATTTGCTGTTATGTTAAACTTATATTAAAGTTTTTTCTTTATTACCCATTCAAGCCATCTCCAGCCATTATTAGTCTCAAAGTGGGTTCTTCATCATTGAATTATGAAAG